TTTTGACCACCATTGTTTCTGCTGAGAAGTCTGCTGTTAATATTATCCATTTATCAAATCTTTACATTTTGCCTCACTGGAGAATTTGAAGACCATGCTTGACTCTGATTAACATCTTAATGCATAAATTTCTTTGCTGATCATGTGGATGAAATTGTTTCACATTATATTTTAAGCTTAGTATTCCTGATTATTGTTTATGTGTAATAATAAATAATATTTATTGAGTGCTCACTTCATGCCAGCCCCCTATGTTAAGCACTTTATTACTTTATTTTTCTCCTCATCTCAACCCATTTTTCACATGAAGGAACTGAGTCAATTGGATAAAGAAAACACACACACACACACACACACACACACACACACACACACACAAATACTATTCCACCATAAAAAAGAAAAAACAATGAAAAGAAAAGAAAAGCATGTCTTTTGCAGCAACATGGATGGAACTAGAGGTCATTATCTTAAATTAAGCAACTCTGAAACAAAAGTCAAATATCATACATTCTCACTTGTAAGTGGGAGTTAAATAATGTGCACACATGGACATAGGGTGTGTAATAATAGTCATTGGAGACTTGCAAGGGTGTAAGGGTGGGAAGGTGTGAGAAATGACCAAGTACTTAATGGCTAAAATATACATCTTTGGGTGATGTTTACAGTAAAAGCCCAGACTTCACCACTACAAAATATATCCATGTAACAAACTTAAATTTTACCTGTTAAATTTATACAAATAAAAAAAGATATAAAATCATCATAATACACAAAAAATCTTTAAAAAGAACTGAAGTAACCTGCCTATGGTTTTATAGCTAGTAAGGGACAGCACTCAGACTTGTATTCAAGAGCTCTGACAGCACAGTCTTTACCCTTGCATTATATGGCTTACTGGAACATGATTAGTTTGGGTCTATTCATTTTGTGATTGGTCACTTTACTGATATCTTTTTTTTTCTAATGGCATCTCAGTTGATTTTCCTAGATTTCCCAAAAATATCATCATATAAGCCAATAATGATAATTTTTCTTTCTCCTTTCCAATATTTTTATTTCCCTTCTTTGTCCAATTTGACAATATCCATTTCTTATAATGCATACACCTGTATTAAATATCATTTAAAACCCTATACAATATCATAACATGACATACTGATGTTTAAGCACTTCAAGAGCATTGGAATATGACAAGATTTACAATAAGACTTAGACACTATTTCTATATAATTGAGTATGCTGGATTTGAAGTTGCTGGAATGAATACGTTACATAAAAGACTTTCCATGTTCTATTTTTTGCCTGTTATTACTTTATTGCTGATTTTTATTTTAAAATCTAGTCTAAGATATTTTACTGCTAAGAAAATGGTTGATTTTGCTTATCTTCATGTCTTTCTTCAATTGAGAGAACTTCCTAAACATTTGTTGGTGATACTGTTGTAGAAAGTTAGAAAAATGGATGGAGATAACCAAAGTGAGGACTCACAGTTCCTACTCCTGGGGATCTCGGAGAGACCTGAGCAGCAGCGAATCCTGTTTTGGATGTTCCTGTCCATGTACCTGGTCACCGTGGTGGGAAATGTGCTCATCGTCCTGGCCATCAGCTCTGACTCCCACCTGCACACTCCCATGTACTTCTTCCTGGCCAACCTCTCCTTTACTGACCTCTTCTTCGTCACCAACACAATCCCCAAGATGCTGGTGAACCTTCAATCCCAAAACAAAGCCATCTCCTACGCAGGGTGTCTGACACAGCTGCACTTCCTGATCTCCTTGGTTACCTTAGACAACCTCATCCTGGCCATGATGGCATATGACCGCTATGTGGCCATCTGCCGCCCCCTCCACTATGTCTCAGCCATGAGCCCTGGGCTTTGTATCTTTCTCATCACTTTGTGTTGGGTGCTCTCTGCCCTTTATGGCCTCCTCCTCACCCTTCTCATGACCAGGGTGATCTTCTGTGGGTCCCGAAAGATCCACTACATCTTCTGTGAGATGTACGTCCTGCTGAGGCTGGCATGTTCCAACACCTACATCATTCACACAGTGCTGGTTGCCACAGGCTGCTTCATCTTCCTCACCCCCTTAGGGTTCGTGATCATGTCTTATGTCCGCATTGTCAGAGCCATCCTCCGAATACCCTCAGCCTCTAAGAAATACAAAGCTTTTTCTACCTGTGCTTCCCACTTGGGTGTGGTCTCCCTCTTCTATGGGACACTGGGCATGGTATACCTGCAGCCCCTGCACACCTACTCCATGAAGGACTCAGTAGCCACAGTGATGTATGCCGTGGTGACCCCCATGATGAACCCTTTCATCTACAGCCTGAGGAACAAGGACATGCATGGGGCTCTGGGTAGACTCCTAGGAAGACCATTTCAGAGGTTGAAATTAGGGTAATTTGGAAAGGGGGCATTGAAGTGGAGACTGGGAATATCCTTCACCATATTTAAGGCATTATCCTGTGGGGTATACAACAGTGATGAGGGCACAGCTCCAGCTCAGAATGAGCATATGTATTTGCAGTAGAGAAAAGACATATGTGTAACCCAGTGTCCCCCAGACCTCACCAGCTTTGGCAATAAATAAGGTCACACTACTATCAGAATTTTGCAGGGTTATTTAAACTTGCTTGATCATAGGACAACATTCTTAGCCTCATCCAGATATACCCAGTGATAGCCTAAGGGGGCCTCTCATATTCTCTACCACACATTCACTTACATTCCAGAGCTCTAGCTTTTCTAAGCAGCCTGCCACTTTCAAGCTATTTGAAGAAGACCGTGTGCACTATCCCTACCATAGGTGCCCTGGGTGAGGCTGCCCCTTTCCCTGTGCTCTGCCAGGCACAACAGACTGCTTCAATGCTCATCCACAGTCCCTCTGGACACAGCATTGTGATTCATGTAGAAACAGCAAGAAGATGCCTCTCTTTTGCTCTGGGTTGATTTTTATCCTTTGGGCCTCAAAGCCATAGTCTTCTGCCTTTTTCCTGAATTCCCTCTCTCTGTAGGAAATCAGACCTTGTCTATGGGAAGCCCATCTTATCCCTTATTTCTGTGGTTCCTCACCTCCCATCTTTTTGCAACCACTCCTTCCACCCATCAAAACAAAACTCTCAAACATATCAACACGTGTTTATAAATAGGAGTGACAGTATAGGCAGTAGAGAGGGAATATTCTGGAACAAATGAACAATTTAATGATCTCAGGGAATATAGAAGAAAGGAGATAAAGAAATTAGGAGTAGAACTCAATGAAATATAAAGCAAAAGCATAATGGAGAGAATCAAAAAAGCCAAAGATTGGTTCTTTTAAAAAAATGAAGTAGAAAAACATGGGATATTGATCAAGAAAAGAAGGGAGAAGACACAAGTAAACACAAGAGTGGAGAAAAGAGGGGTG